TTTGAACTTCTTTCTTTCTTTTTTTTTTGGTTTTTCTCCGGTACCGGGAACTGAACTCACGACCTTGCGCTTGCCAGGCAGGCGCTTTTTGCCGCTGAGCTAAATCCCCAGCCCCATGAACTTCTTTCTGTTTGGAAAGAATAAATACCTTTCAGAAACATAATGTAGCAGGTAAGGGGTCTTCTGCCATCCCAGCTGCCAGAGGGCTTTAATTTAATTGTGTTGTTGTTATGAGATAGGGTCTTGGTAAGTTGCGCAGGCTGATCTCAAACTTGTGATCCTCCTTCCTCAGCCTCCTTGGTAGCTGAGGTTATAAGCACATGCTGCCACCAGGCTCAGTTTAATTTAGTTTTTTTTTTTTTTTTTTTGTATCAGGAATCGAACTCAGGACCTTACACTTGCAAGGCAGGTGCTGTGCTGCTGAGCTATATCCCTGACCTCCTTAATTTAGTTTTTAAACCGATCTCTTCCTAGTTTTAAAGAGGAGGCTTGGGGGGAGCTTGTGAGGGGACAGGTCTGGGGACCCTGCCCCCGCTGAGCTGTGTCCCCTGGAGAGAGCTGGGCAGGGTGGAGGTGAAGGGTCGGAGACCCCGCCCTCCTCCCTCGGACTTGAGTCCTTCCGGTCACTGTTATGGGTCCCACTTCCCCTGCTTGGGAGCTGCCCCTGGGCTGGAGGGACACAGGCGTGGCCTCTGTCAGGAGTAGTGTGCAGCGCAGGGGCATGGAGGACCCCGCTTTTGCAGTGCTCACCCAGGCTGCTGGGATCGGGAGGCAGAGAGCATGTGCAGTCAGGGAGGGCTTCCTGGAGGAGCTGGGCTTTAGCCTCCGTGTCGTGTAGAGCCTGGGTGGGCAGGAAGGAGGCGTCCAGGAGAAGAGCTTCCCAAGGAGGAGGGGCCTGGGTTGTGGGAAGAGCATGGAGACCGGCCGGGGACAGAGGGTCACAGAAGGGGAGAATGGGCGCAGGCCGGTGAGGGTGTCCTGCCACTGCAGGTGTTGGGAGAAAGTGACGTGAGCTGGTGTGGGTTGTCACAGGGCCTTTCCGCAGCCGCGTGGGGGCTGGATGGTGGGGTTGGGAGGGAAGGAGAGTCTGGCGGGGGCTGTGTCACTGCCCGGGCCTGGTGTCCTGGTGACCTGGTGGCCTGGTGGCTGGGACTGGGCAAGAACTGACCTGTTCTGTGGGGCAGGTCCCAGAGCCGAGCTGGCATTGCCTGGCTGGGTCCTGAGGAAGCCGGGAGCTGACGGCAGCTCCCTCTGTGGTTCCCGACAAAGTGCTGTGAGGAGTGGGCTCGTTGTGCGTCCAGAGCAGGGCCGCCTGCCACCCTGCTGCTCCTGGCTGCGCAGGTGCGGCGCTGTGGCGGCCCAGGTTGCTGGGAGGACCTTGGAGAAGGCCGTGTGCTGGGCCATCTGAGTCGCTTTACACACGTTCTCTTCCTCCTCGTGTAGTCCGACAAGGAAGCTCTGTTACGGTCTCCAGCCTGTAGTGGGGAGACGGAGGCTCGGACAGGCTGACCGTGCACCGTAGGTTGCACGACCCATGGGCGATGGAGTGGGATTCAGCCAGGTTTTGGCCAGAGCCCTGTGTCCACAGAGCGGGAACCGCTGAGTGCCCAGCCGGGTGCGGGGACTTGGATCCCCGCGGTGCAGGCCCTGCCTGTGCTGGTTGGTTGGGAATGACGGTGCGGCCGTGGAGGCTCCTCACACTGCGCGGATGTCTGTTAGGTTTTACCTGCAGCAGCTTTCGGTTCAGCTCTGAGGGCCCCGGGCTGTCTGAGGGCTGCCTCGGGGCTGCGGAGGACTTGGGGCTCAGAGCAGGGCCCCCCAGAGAAACGGAACTCTTACTTTCCCTCCCTCTTTCCCTCTCTCTGTCCCTCTTTCCCTTTCTTTCTCCTTTCCCTTTCCCTTTCCCTTTCTCTTTCCTTCCTTCTTTCCTTCCTTCTTTCCTTCCTTCCTTCTTTCCTTCCTTCCTTCCTTCCTTCCTTCCTTCCTTCCTTCCTTCCTTCCTTCTCTCTCTCTCTGTTTCTCTCTCCTTCCCTCCTTTCCTTCCTTTCTTTGAGATAGGGTTTTACTATATAGTTCAGATTGGCCTTGAACTCACTAATCCATATTGGCCTCAAACTCATGGGGATCCTCCTGCCTCAGCCTCCCAAGTGCTGGGATTACAGCTGTATAAAAAAAAATGTATGTTTACATTGGTGAGAAACTGCACAGCTGTTTTCCAAAATAGTTGTATGATCTTCTATGTCCCCGGTAGTGTATGGGAGTCCCTGCTGCCAGTGCTTGTTTTGACCGTCTTTAAAAATGGTCCTGAATGTCTATGTGCTTATTTGGTGTTGATGTGTATCTTTTAACCTTTTGGTCATCTTTAACTTGTTTTTGTGAATTGGCTATGGGGGTGTAAGAGTTGGCTCCTCTTCTGTGGTTCAGGTTAAATGAGATGGTTGTGACGTGCCCCTGGCAGCTGGGACGTCCATCTCAAGGCCCTTCTTTGCTGTGTGCTTGCTCTACCATGGTGTGCAGCTTTGCCGTGGACCCCAAAGAAGTGGGACCAAACAGTGTGGGCTGAAACCTGCAACTCTTTGAGCCCAAGTCTTTCCTATGGGGCGAGGGTTGGGGATTGAACCCAGGGTCTTTACACAAAGCTGCATCCTCAGCCCCTTTTTCTCAGTAGCTAAGTAGCCCAGGCTAGGCTCTAACTTGTGATCTTCCTGCCTCAGCCTACCAGAGTCCTGGGATTATGGGTGTGTGCTGCTGTGCCTGGCTGACTCTTTCCTCCTTTAAATCAATTCTTTCAGTGACCTTATTTTGTTAGAGTAGCATAATGCTGACCAGCGTGGGCATCGTTGTTTAGAAACCACCCAGGCTCATGGACCTCCCTCTTACAGTCTTGTCTCACCCCGAGAGTCCCCCAGGAGAGGACTGCGCACTGGGGAGCCCACCCAGCCCTCGTGCCTTGCTAACCACTGTCCTTGGTAGTGGAGAGCAGGGCTACAACCACTACGACGGCTGATTTTAGGACCCAGGTGCTCCTGAAGCGGGGAGGGCCCCCAGACCAGCTCTTCCTTCACTGTCATTTTATGGCTGCAGCACTGAGGCCCAGAGAGGAGAAGGAAGCTGCCCGGGACTCCACAGCGTGTGGCTGACAGGACAAAGGCTCCTGAGCTGATGAGGCTCCCTCTGCCTGGGCCCAAGGGCTTTTAGAGTCCTAGGGGCCTACAGAGTGAGAAGCCCTGCTCTGCACCCCCAGATGTGCTGGAGATGGGTTCAGTTTTCACAGGGTACTGCCCTCCCTGCACCCCTGGCGGCGTGCTCTGTGCCTGCAGCTGTGCACATCCATACTGTCTCCTGGGTGCCCTTTCAGGGCGCCGGCTGGGACTTGTCATCGCCTGTGAGCCCCGGCCAGGAAAGCAGGACGAGATGTGAGGGGGGTCAAGAGGCAGAGGTGTCGGGCCGACCCGGGCCCTCTGGGACCCATCCGGGGCCTGGCCTTGGCCCTACAGCTGTGGCCAGCTGTGGCCTCCTGCGGGCCCTTCCTGCTCCCTGTACCCCTGGCTCGAGGCGGTTCCCACACATACCCCCTGGGCGCCGGCTGCTGGGAGGGGCCTGGGAAACTTCGCTTGTGTTCTTTGGGGCTTGGCAGCTGGGGGGGCCTGGCGAGGTAGAGAGAAAGTACCCGCTCTGCTGTTGCCAGCTGGGGTCCCCTCTGAACCTCTCCCTCGCTGAGCCACCTGTTTTTCTGTTTGGGAACATAGAGGCTCATTTTTTCCACCTTTGACAAGGAACAAAAAAAGGGCAGCGGGGGTGGGCCTGGGGCTCGGGCAGGGTGAGAAGTGCTGGAGCACAAAGCGTGTGTGTTGGCAGCGTTAGTTGTGAGGCTCCTGGGAGTTTTCAAGGATGACAGGGCTGACGGGGGACTTTCCAGTGAGAGAGGAACCTGTCCCAGCAGTGGTCTGAGCAGGTTCTGGGAGGGCAGTGAGCGGGTAGTAGTCACTCTCTCTCTGAGAGTCCCCAGAGCGAGAGGCAGGAAGCAGCCTGAGTACATAGGCAGGGGGAGGCCTGGGCAGCACCTGCTGGGGGCCGGGGGCCGCCATTCAGTATACAATGAGGTCAGTCCAGTGACTGGACTGACCCTGGCTTCCTGAGGCCCCACTGTCCCCTGCTGGTCACAGGAGGCAGGTGGGGGGCACGGGGACGGTTGGGAGCAGATTGTCCCTGCTGCAGGCAGCTGGGAGGTGTTTATGCTCTCATGCACAGAGCAGAGCTGGCACCCAGGGTGCAGGGGGCCGTGGGGCAGGCGGGGCAGGCGGGGCAGGTGGCCCCTCTCGTCCTGGACGGCAGTGCTCTGTGGGGTTGTGTGGAATTCCCGGCCCCTCCCCTCCCAACATGCTGTCTCTCAGAGCCACTCCCACCCCCAGCGCCTCAAAGTCATCCCGGCCCTCTTCCCCACGCATGCATTTACCTATTTGCTTTAAATAGGTTTTAACTTTATTACCCTGTGTTCAGAGAAGAAAAATCAGCAAATGCGGGCAAGCAGGTGAACTAAAAGTTGTCTGTGATCCCTCTTGGAGAGAGCTCACCGAGCTCCCTGAGGTGACTCCTTGGACACAGTGAGGGCGGAGTGGTCGCAGCTCTGTGCCTTGCAGCTGCTCCAGCTGTTCCTGTTCCCAGGGTGGTTCTGGGCTTCAGTCTGTGGGGTCCATTCCACGGCAGCTTGGAGTGGTCAGCACATGCCCTGCTGGCGGCTGGAGGCTGTTTCCAGTGCTGTGTTCTTAGGAACAGCACCTGTCACCACCATGACGTGGTGGTCTGTCCTCCAGCCTGTCCTTGGGGAAGAGCTCTGCAGCGGGATTGCTAGAGCCTCAGGACACCCAGCCTCTGCCTGGATCCCGTGCATGATGCTAATGTGGCGCTCCACAGTGTTTTCTTTTGGTGCCTGATTTGCCAGCAGTTCACTTTTGCTGGACGTTTCTATCCTCATTTTGTTATTGTCCTGTTTTTGCCAGGGGATGCTCTTCGTGTCTCTCTCTGTCCGTGACTCCCCCAAAGCATCAGCAGGAGGCCAGCACATGGCAGCCACCCTGTGAGCCTTCCTGAACCCAGGTTGGTGGCGTCAAGCCTGCTGTGTTTGGAGTCACAGTGGCGGCTGCTGCTTGCCGTAGGTGGCAGGTTGGGGTGGGCCAGGTCCCTTCCTTGGGTGGCTCCTTCCACCCCCACCTGCACTGCATATCCTCTCTCCCCGCAGGTCTTGGGTCCTCAGGCTGCCTGCTGACTATGGGTACGACAGCCAGCACAGCCCAGCAGACGGTCTCGGCGGGTGCCCCCCTCGAGGGTCTCCAGGGCAGCAGCACCATGGACAGCCGGCATTCCTTCAGCGTCCATGCCTTCCAGAGCACGAGCCTGCACAACAGCAAGGCCAAGTCCATCATCCCCAACAAGGTGGCCCCTGTCGTGATCACGTGAGTGGCAGGGAGGGGTGTGACCATGGCCCTGGGCACTTGAATGGAGGTGCAGTAGTATACACACCCGGTGCTTACAAATGGCGTTCGCTGTTCCATAAATGAAAGGTCAGGCCCAGAGACTAAGCAGTGTTTATGGAGTCACACAGCAAGGTGGATCTGTTATGAGTCTCTGAGCCCATGTTACTTACCACAGTGCCAGCAGGCGTGGAGAAAGGAAAGTGGCAGGAGGGACACCCTTTTGAAAATGATTGTTGATTGAACATTTGTAAAGGAAGCATATTCCTGTACTTAAGTCATGGAATTCAGATCTTTTTGCTTTCAGAACCAGCCATTATGGCTCAAAGCTGAGGTTAATAGTAGGTTGCCTGAGGGCCTTGGGCTGAAGTAGCTGGAAGTTGCTAGTCCATACCCTAGATGAGTCCTTCAGGAACGGTCCCTGAGGGGTGGAGGATTTGTTCTGGCAGCCACTTTGGAGAGACCTGGATGCGGAGCAGCAGGCAGAGGAAGAGGGTCCTGGAGGCCCCTGAAACCTGCCTGTCCGTGGAGCTGCCTGGAGGAAGGAGTGGGTGCTGGGAGCTGGATAGGGAGATGGAAGGGACGTTGGATCTGTCCCCTGAGGAGTCAGGAAGCCTAGCACTTTCCATGCCTCTGCCTTTGGCAGGAGGTAGGACTCGGACTGGCACACACAGAAGTTTGGCTGAGCTCTAGAAGATGGGCTAGGCTGGAGGGGGTGGGGATGATAAAGCCTTTCTGCTCACCTGTGCCATAAAAAACTGGTGCTCGGGATGAGGGGAGCAAAAGAAGTGTCATTTTAAAGACTGGCTATGGAGTCTTTTTTAACAGACAACAGGAGTAGCTTTGGGCCTGGAGGCAGCATGGAAAATACATGTCCAGGGCCCGGCTGCAACTCTTCTCTGCTCTGAGGCCCTGGATGAGTCCCTTTTCCCTATTTGGGCCTCATTTTGCTTGTCAACATAGGCAGTGGTAACATTAACAATATTTTCCCAAGTGGCGTGGCTCGCAACAGTTGCTGGCCAGCTGTGAAGATCCATTTCAGAGTGTTGTATGCATAGCCTGGAGCTGTATGTACTGCTGGGGTGCAGACTGTTTGAGGTGGAAGGGACATTAGAGATTGTCCAGTAGTGGAATCAGCACACTGCATCCCACAGGCCAATCTGGCCCCTCACCTGTTAATATAAATAAAGTTTTATTGGAGCACCACCATTCCCACAATCTATCTGTGGAATGCTTAGCATTCCAACAGCAGAATTGAGTGACTGGCAGAGGCCACATGTGACCCCAGCAGCCTGAAACATTCACTGTCAGGTCCTTTGTGGGAAGGGCTTATGGAACCCTGATTTAATTATTTTTTTTTTTTTAGATTGGTTGCAAAAACTGATTTAGATATGAAAATTGGGTTTCAAGGTGAGATTTGCCCACTGTATGACTGCAGAGCTGGAGTGGAAGCCAGGTCTCCTGACTCTTGGTCTAGTGCTCCTGGCCCACCAGTTGTGCCCCCTGCCTTTCCTAAACGAAGTCCTTTGGCCAAGAGGCCCTGACACCAGATCCTAAACTCTGCGAGGCTGTCTCAGACATAGTTGTCACTGGCCCTGTGGCTTTGTGCGTTGAGACAGTCATCTTACAGTGCTTGAGTATGTGGAGTTCTCCCGGGCCTAATGTCTTCAGAAATCATGATTTCTCCTGTGGGTTTGTCTGACCTGGCCCTGGTATGGAGAAGGAACTGCTGCGGTAACGGTGATTGCATTCATGTGTGCTTACTGTGTTCTGGGCTGTGCACTGAGGCAATCGTGCATGCAGCTCTCACCCCAGTCTGAGGAGGTCGCAAGGCCTGGAACGCAACCACTGTCCAAAGCCACTAAGTTACCAAGAGGCAGGGTTGGGATTCACATTCAACACCTGCATTCTGATCCCCCATACCAGGTGTCTTGGTTACTTTTTTCTCACTGCTGGGACAAAATACCTGATGCCCAAAATTAAGGAAGGAAAGGTTTATTTCGCTTACAGTTCGTGGAAGTTTCAGTCTGTACCTGGCAGATTATAAGGCAGAGTGGCACATGGCAAAGAGCTATAGCTCAGGGCGGCAGCACACAGCTAAGCTGCAAGCACACACCAGGGCGGAATGGGGAGGAATGTCCTCAAGCACTCTTTTCCTCTCCCTTACATATGCAAACTATCCACCCCAGGGCGGGTGCAGCTCTCACACCCACAATCATTCAACTCTAATAGCCTGCCCCATGGTCCCATGAGGCTTTGGAGGGGACACACAGTCATAAACCATAACTATGATTGGCAGTGTGGGATTGTTCCAAGCACAGTCTGAGGGAGGAGCCATTCAATGACAATGTTTTAGCAGGATCCAGGATAGGCCACCATAACAGCAGGACTCCCAATAGGATGCTTTAATCTGGATGGAAGCTTCTGTCTCACTCGAATGTCCAGGCTGGCATGGCAGCCCCATGATCAGGGGTCTGAGGTGACTGTGCTACTTCTGCTGTCACTTCTGGATTTGGGCCATGGAGAAAGACAGAAGACAGACAGACAGGAAGGCATTCCCTTTGCAGGTGGCCCAGAATTTGCTTGTATCATGTTCTCTCACATCTCATTGGCTGAGGCTTGGTCACATGACCAGATGCAAGTGGTGACTCAGGTCCCTTTCCCCCAGTCATGGCGATCTTGGGTGCCCTATCCGAAAGGGGGGGTATGTGTGGCGACTGGTGGATGAGGGTCAGTCTCTGCCGCTGGTGGGCAGCCATGTGGGCAGATGTGTGGCCTTGCTGTGGGCCTTGGTGAGGGTGGAGGAGACTAACATGGAAGTTGTCTGACTTGGCAGGTACAACTGCAAAGAGGAGTTCCAGATCCATGATGAGCCGCTCAAGGCGCATTACACACTGGGCCGGCTCTCGGACACCACCCCTGAGCACTACCTGGTGCAGGTAAGGCCAGGCCCCGCCCTTGCAGCCTCAGCCCTCCTCCCTCACCTGCTCTGTCTCTCTTATTACCTCACCCCTTCTCAGAGGGCAGTGCAGGGCAGTCAGCTTCCCTTGCACCCTTGGGCTCTTCCCCTGGTTTCTGGGCCCGTCCCTCTTGTCCCTGCTCTTCATTCCCCATCTGGCCCCTGCCTGGCCCCGGCCTACCTTTGCCTCCGTCCTTGGGCACCAGGGGGAGCAGAGGCGGGCTGATGGCCCCAGGGACCCCGACCCCTACCCCTCCAGGCTGGGAGTCTCCATCTTGTTCTCTTTCCAAGTGTCAGACCTCTTGCTTAGCTAACTTTTCTTCAGATGTCTCCTAGAAAGTACAAAGTCCCCGAGGGCTCATAGTTTTAAGTCTACCTTATTTGCTACTGCAGCCCTGGGGCCTAGAACTGTGTTGGAAGCAAGCAGCTGCTGAATACATACATTTGGTGAACGAGTGACTCCTTGAATAATAACCATTAAGCCGCGCTTGGTGAAAGAGGCCTGGGAGCTTCTGGCCCTTCTGGGCACTGGGGTCCCACTTCCTATCTGTCAGGCTGGGTGGCTGTGGCCTGCTGGAGGCAGGGGTGAGCCAGATGATCTAGGGCAACTTTTTGGCCAGTGAGCTCTCCTCTGCCCTCTCCTTTTGCTTGATTAGCTGGACAGTGTTTGCCTCTTTTCCCTGTGGTCACTGCATCCATTCACCCTGCCTGGCTCCCTCAGATCCAGCTGGGCGTAGGAAGGGGCCAGCACAGTTGTCCTTGGCCTCGTTCTTCGTGCTCCCCGTCACCTCTCCTCCGGGCCCCTTCTCCATGCACCCCCACCCGCTTCACCAGGCGTGGGAGACCTTTGTCTTCCTCCAGGGGGAGCTGCAGGTGTACCCTAGGCTAGTCCTGCCTGCCTGCTTTTCAAGGCCTGGCTTGGGACCGCCTCCTGCAGGAAGCCCTCTCTGATGCCCCCTCAGGAGGAGTCATTTTTCCTTTTTCAGCGCTTTGTGAATCCATGCCCATCACAGCTGTCTGGTTTTTGTCTGCTTAATCCATGAGCCTGCAGGGAACTCAAGGGCAGGATCGTGTTTCTCTCCCCTAGTTCTATGCCTTGTCCCCTGGAGCCCAGGACGGAGCCCCTCCTGTAGAAGCTGTCTGGGTCAGCTGAGTGACCCCTGTGGCTCTCCCCTGCCAGGGCCGCTACTTCCTGGTGCGGGATGTTACTGAGAAGATGGACGTGCTGGGAACCTCGGGGAGCTGTGGGGTCCTCAACTTCCGGCAGGCACAGGGTGGGCTCGCTGTGTTCGGCATGGGACAGCCTAGCCTCTCAGGGTTCAAGCGGGTCCTCCAGAAACTCCAGAAGGATGGACACAAGGTAAGCATGCTGCTGCCCAGGCCAGCCCCCCAGATCTGGGCAGAGGCTTGGAGGACAGGTAGTAGCCTGGACAAGGCCTTGCCAGCCCTTGACTTCCAGGATGTCACTGTGGGTGGCATGGCTGGGGATTCTGGCAAATGTTTACTGCCTTGTCCTGTGTGGACATAGAGGTCAGGAGCTTCTTGTACACCCACCATGGAGCCTTGGAGGAAGTGAGGTGGGTGACAGCACCGGTGGCACAAGGGCCCAGCTTGTAGCTCAAGAGACTGTCCTCTTACAATTCCAGCATTCTGGGAGGCTGAGGCAGGAGGATCACAAGCTCTAACCCAGCCTGGACAATTTAATGACATAGTGAGACCCTGTCTCAAAACAATTAAAAAAAGGGCTGGAGATGCAGCTCAGTGTGAAAGCCCTAGGTTCAGTCCGCAGTGCCTCCCACCAAAAATAATAAAATAAAATAAAACGATGATCACAGCTAACACTTAAGCCCTTGTGTTGACCCTGTAAAGGAGTTGCTGTGGGTCTCATTTACAGAGGAGGAAACTGAGGCTCTGTGAGGATAAGTGACTTGCTTAGGGTCATGCAGCTCGTGAGGACTTCCCAGGACCCAAACCCTAAGCATCTGCTTTCAAGGACTCCCTTACCTGCCTGAGCCAGGTGGAGGATGTTGCTGTCTCTAGGACAGGGGCTGAGGGGGCGCTGTGACTACAGGATGCTGGGACAGTGCCTCACAGTTGCCTTGGGGCTAAGGTGCAGAGGCCTGGAGTGGACCAGGACAGGGCAGGCTGTGTGCAGGTCCCATCTGCCTGTCTGGGTCGGCAGCTCCTCGAGAGCAAGCTCTACCACATAGCTTGCTCCACTTGTCAGTGGTCAGTGAGTGCATGATTGCACGGAGGTTGTGTTAGCCGGCATTCCATCACTGTGACAAAATAGCTGAGAAAATCAGTGTAAAGGAGGGTTAGCTTACTTTGGATTATGGTTTCAGAGGTTTCGGTCCATGGTCAGCAGATTCCATTTCTGTGGATTAGATGTGAGGCAGAACATCATGGCAGATGGGGGTGCGGAGGAAACCTGTCTTACTTCTGGAAGCTGGGAAGCAGAGAGGAAAAGGCCAGGGACAGAATATACCTTCAGAGCCACACCTCCCAGTGACCTGCTTCATTCAGTGAAACACACTGCCTGTAGCCCATTCAGCCAGTGATTCATCAATGGATTAATCCACTTGGTGAATTTAGAGCTCTAATGATCCAGTCACCCTTCCAGAGCTCATCAGCAGCCACACATTCAACATTACGAGCATTCTGGGCAACAATGAATTCATAACAATGGTGACACCTATTCATTTCTTGAGCTGATTTTTATCAAGCACTTGATTAATCCAGCGCTCTGTGCTGAGAACTGTGGATGCATGAAAATGACCATGATGTGTTCTACCTGGGGGGGTGTTCATCAAAGGAAAAAAGATGCATTCACTGATAGGTAATGTTAAAGTAAGAACTCCCATCAGGCTACAGGATGTGGGGCGGTTCCTGGTGGCCAGGGGCGGCGGGTAGGGATCATGAGCAGGTGGCTTTTGGACTGAGCTGTTTCTTGGGTAGCATCCAGGATACAGGGACTCATTTGAGTGCCAGGCTCCCGAGCAGGAGGCACTGGCTGGGCACAGCTGGGTGGAAGGGGGTGGCTTTGCCTGGTAGTGGTGACGGCTTCCTTCCCCCAGGAGTGCATCATCTTCTGCGTGCGGGAGGAGCCCGTGCTGTTCCTGCATGCCGGTGAGGACTTCGTGTCCTACACGCCTCGAGACAGGCACAAGCTTCATGAGAACCTCCAGGGCCTGGGGCCTGGGGTCCGGGTGGAGAGCACAGAGCTGGCCATCCGGAAAGAGGTGAGGGCCAGCGGGGTGGGTAGGAGCTGAGGCTGCAGCTCGCAGAGCAGCTCTGTGGATGGATGTGCTTACTGCGCCGGCCCTGCTGGCTGTCACGGGCCACTCTGCCCTGCTTAGGTGAGAGGCTGCCTCAAAGCTGGCTTTAAGATGGCCAGGGGACAGATTTCCTGTTGCTTCCCTGCCCCGCCCTGCTCTTCTCGATGCTCATCATCTTTATGGATGTGCCGGGCCCGGTGGGAGAGTGCTAGATGAGGAGGCCCAGGACCCAGATTGCTCCTGCACTGCGGCGCCCTGAAGAATCATTCTCGCTGGCCTCTGTGGGTCTGGCTCTGAGATTCCTCTGTCCTTCCTTTCCATGACTCAGAGGCTTGACAGCGTCTCTGAGGCCGGTGACACACCACGGAAGGGAGTAAATGAGATGTGGGGGTCACGGCACTTCAGAGACTGCCCTGGGGCAGGAACCGGAGCCCTGCTGGGGACCACCATCTCCCCATTCCCTCCCAGCCCCCTGTGTCCTCTGTCTCTCTCGGCTCCCGCTTGTGGTAGACTGAGCCTCGCCCCGTCCTGGCGGTCAGGTGGCTTTGCGCATTCCTGCTGCCCACTGGGCAGAGCCCAGCAGCCTGGCCCCCTGGGAGCTGGCTTCCCTCAGGCCAGTGGCCTCCCCTGGCCCCTCAGGCAGGGCCCAGAGAGCGCTGTGGCTACAGGGTTCCTTCCTGGAGGAAAAGAAATCCGTGTGTGGTCTCTGTGTGGCCTGGTCACCCCACAGCCCAGCGGGGTCTTGGAGGTCTGGTCACGGTCCCCTGAGCCCCACGTCTTCCTCCAGATCCAGGACTTTGCCCAGCTGAGCGAGAACACCTACCACGTGTACCATGACATGGAGGACCTGCGGACGGAGCCCTGTGCTGTGGCCGTCAGGGGTGAGGACGACGTGCGTGTGACCGAGGAGGTGTACAAGCGGCCCCTTTTCCTGCAGCCCACCTACAGGTACCCGGCGGCTGGCTGGGGTCCTCTCTGGGCTTCTCCCCAGCGGCAGCCTCAGTTTCTCTGACTGTGGTTGGGCCAGGCTCCCCATCCCATCTCCCCTCTCCGTGGAGGGGCAGGGGGCTGGTGCCTGCCTGATGGGCTGCTCCCCTCCCCTGGCAGGTACCACCGCCTGCCCCTGCCGGAGCAGGGGGCACCCTTGGAAGCGCAGTTTGACGCCTTTGTCAGCATCCTGCGGGTGAGTGACACTGAGGCGGAGTCCCTGGAGATGCTCAGGGCGGCGTGACTTTTTTTCCCTGGGGAGGCCTTGTTCTGGGCAGCTGTGGGCTCTGTCTGTGTCCCTCTGCGGTGTTTGTGCACTCTGTCTGTGTGTGCACCTCTGTGCTGTGCTTTGACGCATCCTCCAGTGGCTGAGTCCGGCCCTGATCCCCAGAGGCCTGATTTCGGGGTGTTACCTCTCCTGACCTGAAGTTCCTCATTGCTTTAGTGATGCTACTGATTCTTACTCCATAGACTCTGCTTGGTATTTACTGAGTCCTAGTGGCCTTCCTGTCCCACTGCCTTATTTTTATTTTTTTGTGGTACTGGAGATTGAACCCAGGGCCTTCACATTGAACTGCATCCCCAGCCCTTTGTTAAATTTTGAGACGGGGCCTCACTGAGTTGCTAAGTTGTCCAGGTTGGGCTTGAACTTTCGACCCTTCCTCATCAGCCTCCCGCACTGCTGGGATTGTAGGTCTGCGCCACCGCGAGGACGCTGCCTTATTCGTGTTGTACAGCGGGTGTTCAGGACAGGCCCGGTGCCCTCTGAGTAGCTCCTATGTGCAGACCCCACACGGTGCCCTCACACACCTTCTTGGGGAGGTCCTGCAACGCCCGGCCAGAGCGGGCACCTGTGCTCCTGGGGACAGGTGGAGTAGATCCGGCTGTGGCTTTGATGCCGAGGCTGAGCTGCTTGTCTGAGCCCAGCTTGCGGCAGACTGTGGAACAGGGTGTGCTGATGTCATCAGCCCCTTCTTTGACTTGGTCCTCAGCCTCAGGGTTTCGGGTCATGCTGTTGCCCGATACGCCTGGTCTTTTCCCAGGAGATACCCAGCCTGCTCCATCTCCGAGATGCCCACGGGTCTGCCCCCACCCTCCTCTTCAGCTGCCATTCAGGTGTGGGCAGGACCAACCTGGGCATGGTCCTGGGTGCCCTGGTGCTGTTTCACCACAGTGGGACCTCACAGGCCGAGTGAGTGCGTGGGGATCTAGAGTCCCAGGGGCTGTGGGGATGAGTCGAGGAGGGGGTGGCTCCGCCCTGGGGTGGGGGGTTTACATCCAGGAGTCCACATCCAGAATTGGGAGCTCATTTCCAGGTTTGGCACAGATTGGCTGTATGACCTGGAGAGAGGCACTTGACCCCTCTGGGCCTCAGTTTCCCTAGAGGGGGCAGTGCCCTTGCTTCACCCAGTGGGGCTCAGAAGGAATCCGTGGTCTGGTGCTTCCTCCGGGGCCATACAGGTGCAAGGGAGCGGGCGGCGAGGCTTTCGGGAGCCCCCATTAGCTGCTGCCCCCTACCTTGTCAGGCCTGGGCCCCTGCAGACCAAGCCCCTGCCCATGGAGCAGTTCCACATGGTCCAGAGTTTTCTGCACATGGTGCCCCAGGGCAGGAGGATGGTGGAAGAGGTGAGTGAGGGGCTGGGCGGGGACAGTGCAGGGGACAGTCCTTCCTGTCACTGGTGGGGATGTCATTCCTCTGCCTCCATGGTGCCCTCCTTCTGCTCTCTGCCAGTTCTTCACTTTCCTTTTCATTTTCTCTGCCACCATCTTTCCTTGACCCTCTTTGCTGCCCTGTCCCTGGGCCCAGGTGGACAGAGCCATTGATGCCTGTGCCGAGTTGCATGATCTGAGGGAGGTGGCCCTGGAGAACCAGAGGAAGCTGGAAGGCGTCCGGCCGGAGAGCCGAGCACAGGTGAGGCCGTTGCTTTGAGTGAGCCCTGCAGCCTGGGTACGGTGGGGCTGTGGCTGAGGTCTTCAGCCGGGCTTGTCCCGGCTGCTGCTGCTCCCACAAGCAGAGCAGCTTCCAGAGGAAGGGGAGGCTGGGTGCTGGGCCTGCGAGAAGGACGGGGAAGAAGGGAAGTTTACTTTCGCTGTCCACTTCACTTGGTGGCAGAATAAACAGGATGGAGGAGGGGCTGCTGGCCTGGGTTGCTGGGGCCGTGGATTCGGACGCTTCCCAGATCACTCACGGTTCCTGCAGTAGACAGTTTCCTGGGACTATAACGAAATATTGCAGATAATGAACCTGTACAGAGAAAAGGTTGGTTTTGACTCACAGTTTTGGAGGGTCTTATCCAGGAACGACTGGCTCTGTTGTCTTGAGCAAAGGGCACATCATGGCAGCTGTGTGTGGCAGAGCAAAACCACTCACCCTGTGGCTGAGTAGCAGAAGAGAGGAAGAGGAAGAGCTGAGGTCCCGCTGTCCCCTTATGGTTCACTTCCAGTGACCTGAGGACCTTCCACCCCCCAGCACCCTTAGGTCCCACTGTCTCCTGAGAGCACCACCTTGGGACCAAACCTTTATTTAACTTTCATGATCCAAACTACAGCAGTTGTTGGTCTGCTGCACTGCTCTGGCAGAGTGTGGGGCTCTGGACTCCAGGGAGGCACTGTCCCCAGCTCTGGGGGATGAGGGTGGCTCGACAGCGTCTGCACACAGTGCATGCAGAGAAGTGAAGCCTGCAGAGCCTCTTCCTTCTCTTTTTAAAAATGTCTTTTAAAAGCAGTAATCTGTGATGGAAAATTGAGAATTTAGAGCAGAAAGGAAAAGAAATTGCCCGTAATCCCAGCACAGCTGCATGAGCATCTGGAGCTGGTTTGCTTCGTCTTACATGTTTATGCTTCTCCAGCAGAGGCTGCCCCAGCACACGGTTCACATCCTGCTTGTTTTAACTTCACAGCAGCAGCTGTTCCCATGTGGATGCCTGACTTTTGTCACCGAGGTTTCTAGTGGTCGTGTAACTTAACCCCTGACACAGTTCAGCCAGCGCCAGCCCCATAGGTGAAGAGTGGGCCTGGGCCGGCTGCTTGGGGTCTGGCATCACCCCGCCATGTCCGGGGTGTGGACTTGGGAACTGCTGTGGCACTCTGTGCCTCCATTTCCCCAGTCGTGAAGTGGGGCCAGTACTACGGTGAGGTATTAGGAGAGCGCGCAGGGCCGGTGTTGCTGCAGTGTCACCTGCTGTGAGTTCCTAAGCACACCCCTGTTGTTGACAGCTCAGCTGCTTATCCTCATCAGTATAAATACTTTTTGCTTTGAGCAACTTCATGAAAATGAAGGCTTCTGTATTTTGGGGGTTTCCCCTCGAAGTCCAGATTAGAGGTCAGCTAAGCCGGCTCCGGAGCCACATCCAGGCCACCCTGTCCTGGGGAGTGAGTTTATGGGAGCATGCCCTGCCTGTGCATGTGCTCTCAGTGCAGACTTCCTGTGGCAGAGACACGGGGGCTGCACAGCGGGCACGTTCACCATGGCCTTTTGTAAGAGGTGCTTGCCAGTCCCTGGTGGGGATTCCTCAGGTTGGGGTCCAACTTCGTCAGCGGCACGAGCCTCTCTTGGGCCAATTTGAATCTTACTTGTCCTCCAAAGGCTGCTGACCCCACAGGAGGACTGTGAGAGCCGAGGGTTGCGGAAGGGCCTCTGGGGTTCGCTCTGATACCCCACTACCCAGAGGATTGCAGGGTTTGAGGAGGAGAGAGGGGCTAGCCCTGTGTGCCATCGGCTGTGTGATTTGGAGGAAGTCACTGCATTTCTCTGAATTTCCCTTTCTGCTCTGTAGATTAGGGGCAGTATTAACGCCCCTCCCCTCCAGCACCATTATGAGGGCCTGTGATTTCCAGTGGGCCGGGGGGGTCCTTCATTTCTGCAGGAGAGGGTTTCCCTTCTGAAGGGGAAAGGGTTGGCACACTTGCTTCCTAACACAGAGGGTGCGGACCGTGGCTTGGGGTGGCTTTGTGGCAAAGCAAGGGAGCCCCCGTCCCCCATCTGCCCGGGGGTGGGTGGGATGACTGTTCCTCCACCAGAGCTGCAGTGCCTGGCGTGGTCAGCAGAAATCTCCGTGCATCATCGATTAACCACGGCAACAGGGTAGAGTCGGGTGTTTGGAAGAAGAGGGGGCTCTGTGTTCTGGGATTTCCCAGGCTGGAGTCCTACCCTTCCCGGTATGGAGGGGCCACCCGCAAGGCTGGGTGTGTTAACTCCCTGTCCTCTCTCCCTTTCTCAGGAAAGCAGTGAGCAGCATGTTGCCCAGCAGAGGGCGCTGCGGAGCCTGGAGCGCTACTTCCACCTGATCCTGTTCAGCTACTATCTGCATGAGCAGGTGGGGCTGGGGGGCACAGACCTGCACCTCCTCCCCTCGGGCTCCTCCAGGCCTCCCCCACACTCACGGTGATTGTAGATAGGGACCCGCGGAGCTGGGGAGGAGAGTAGGGATGCGTGTTGGGCCGCAAGGACATGGTGTGGGTGAGTTGAGAGAGACCCAGATAGGTGGGCCCTGAGCAGGAGTGGTCTGGCAGGCCTCACCCCTCTCTCCTGTCCCCTTAGCCAGGGGAGTAGATGTCCTGGTCTCCCATCCACCCCCTCAGGCTTGTCCTGGAACACGCTGGGGTCTCCTGGGCCTCTTCTCCACGGGCAGGCAGGGAGAATTCAGGATGGTGCCCCACCCCTGAACGCCCCGTCTCTCTCTGCCTCTGGCTGCAGTACCCCCTGGCCTTTGCCCTCAGTTTTAGCCGCTGGCTGTGCACCCACCCCGAGCTGTACCGTCTCCCCGTGACGCTGAGCTCAGGGGGGGCCATGACCCCCAGGGACCTCCTTGCCCAGGGCTCCCTGGTGAGTATGACCAGTGGTCTGGGAAACAAGGGTGGGCATGGTTGGGCCTGGGGGTCCCTGAACCCTGGATTCCTGTAGGGCTGGGCAGGGGTGGTCAGGTTGTGGCAGGTGTCATAGTCAGGCCCCAAGAAGCCGCTATGGCTTTGGCCACCTTTCTAGTACCTCCTCTTCCACCTCAAACTCAAGCCCTTTGTCGGGGAGTCGGGAGACCTGGGATGTGGATCTTTGCCCCCAGCTTCTCATCTGTGAGCCTCAGCCTCCGCTCCTCGGGGTGCTGATGGGGCTCTGTAAACGTATAGTGCTGGTCCCACCCGCACCGAAGGTTCTGAGCCCTCTGTGGCTGTGTTGGCTGCTATGGGTCCCAGACTCAGTGCCCCCCGCCCCCGACAGGAGGCCGATGATCTCGTCTCCCCGGATGCGCTCAGCACCATCCGAGAGATGGACGTGGCCAACTTCCGGCGTGTGCCCCGCATGCCCATCTATGGCATGGCCCAGCCTGGTGCCAAGGTGACTGCACTTGGGGTGTGGGGCATGCAGGAGGGAGGGGTAGTGCTGGGCACTTGCCCTGATGGTCCCTCTGTCCTCTAGGCCCTGGGCAGCATCCTGACCTACCTGACTGATGCCAAAAGGAAGCTGCAGCAGGTGGTCTGGGTCAACCTGCGGGAGGACGCTGTGCTGGAGTGTGATGGTCACATCCACAGCCTGCGGCCGCCTGGGGCCCCCATGGCCCCCGCTCAGTTGGAGGTGAGACTTCCTGCCCTTGCCTTGGAGGCCTGATTGTGGCCTCACAGGGTCATCAAGGGGTCCCGTGCTGCTGCTGGACAGATGGGGGCCTGAGACCCGGAGGGGGGCAGTGTGAGGGGCTGATCTGGGGCTCCTCCTCCAGTGCTCTGTTGCCATCCTGGCTCTGGGGAATTATGACCCCTATGGCTCTGTGGGGCAGGGATGGGCCTGGACGCCAGGACTGGTCACGCCTACAGCAGCTCTGGCCTTTCAAAGCCAGCCCGGGGGCTGCCTCAGTGGCCTCTGCCCTCATCCCCCCCCCAGGCCATGGAGGCCCAGCTGAAGGCCTACCTGAGCAAGCCGCCCCCCGACATGAAGGACCCACCGCTCCCCAGGTTCCAGGCGTGCCTCACCATGCAGGAGGTGTTCAGCCAGCACTGTGGGGCCTGCCCCGGCCTCACCTACCGCCGTGTCCCCCTGCCGGACTTCTGCGCCCCCCGAGAGGAGGTGAGTGGCGAGGGTGGGAGGCTCCCTGCCTCCCCTTGGCCTGGGCTTAGGGAGGGGAGACCAGCCAGCTGTGCCGTGGGGCTGGGGGGACCATGGCAAAAAGTGGCCCAAGAGGTTTATTCCCATCGCTTCCAGCTGTGTGTGTGTGTGTCTGTCTGTGCATCTGTGCTGGGCGAATGAGTGCATACACAGGTGTGGTGAGCACTTCTCACAGGTTCGTGGTGCCTGTCTTGCCTTATGGGGCTGTGTGTGGAAGGGCGTCTTCAGAGAGTTGTGTGGTGTGTGGACTGTAGGGAGGCCGGCAAGCTGGTATGTGATTGAGGTGTTTTCATATATTGGCTATACGTTTGCTGCAGACACCTTTCCAGCTGTCTGTAGTTTGTGTGTCTTGAAGGCACATGGATGTCTGGTGTGGTGTGTGTGCCGGGTGTGTGGTACACAGGGGTCACTCGGCCCCTGTACATGCTCTTCGGAGCTTTGCATACCGCTTGCATTTCCCTCCTGTGATGTGCTGCCCCCTGGTGGCTGAGGCCTGTTGCAGCAGCCATCTACGCTCCTGAAGGAGCACATGGCTGGCCTACACGGATGTCCCACCAGGTGGAGGCAGGAGCTCGGGTCCATGTGTACTGTCTGTTCACATGTCCAGTCCTCAGTTGCTGGGTGGGGAGAGATATGACACCCCAGACTGAGACTGTGGCCTCACCCCCAGGACTTTGACCAGCTGCTGGATGCCCTGCGGGCGGCCCTTGCCAAGGACCCCGGCACTGGCTTCATGTTCAGCTGCCTCAGTGGCCAGGGCCGGACCACGACTGCCATGGTGGTGGCTGTGCTGGCCTTCTGGCGCATCCGAGTATGTATGGCTCCAGTGTGAGGACAAGGCTCTGCCCAGGCAGGGTGGGCACCGGGCCTCGGGGACACTGGTGGGAGGGTGTGGGTGGCACAGGCGGTGTCCTGGGGCACTGGCCCACAGCCGTCCTCCCCAGGGCTGCCCCGAGGTGGGAGAGGAAGAGCTCGTGAGTGTGCCTGATGCCAAGTTCACCAAGGGTGAGTTTCAGGTGAGTGTGTCTGGGGGGTAAGGTGTGCCTGGGGAGGAGGGCAGAGCTGGGGCGGCCAGGGGGTCCCCAGAGCTCTTCTGAACACAGGTGTCTCTTCCATCTCATTATCGGTGCTTCCTGTCCCCGTTTTACAGCGGAGCAAGCTAGGGCTGGCTCTGGGGCTCCGGCCGATGGCCGCAGGAGACGGGAGCGGGCCGCTCATCCCCTTCCGCCGGCCTAGCTGCTGGGCGCCTGGGTAGCGTTGACAGCTGCCTCACAGGCACTTGGGACCCAGCCTGGTTGGCATCCTTGCAGAGGGCCCAGGCGCATGCACCCTGTGTGTGCCTCTGCTCTGGGTGGGAGTACCGGGTGGACGGCCACCAGCCTTTCAGGTTCACTCACCAGGTGTCACACACTTGCCATCATCTCAGACCCTGTGTGAGGAGGTGGCACATCCTGCAGAGCTGGCATGTGGCTGCCTGGCAGTAACATCAGGGTCGGCTGTTGCCTACCTGCCCACCTGTGCTGTGTGTCCCTGGTGTTCCCTCCCTGCAGTCCTGCTGCCATGACCTCCTTGTGGCTTCTCAAGTTAAAAGCAGTCCTGCCTTAGCCTGCTGAGCGCTGGGATTACAGGGCTGCCTGCTTCTTTCTTTTTTTTTTTTTTTGTCTTTTTGAGACAGGGTCTCGCTATGCAGTTGAGGCTGGCCTTGAGCTCACTTTGTAGCCCACGCTGGTCTCAAACTCACAATGATCCTCCTGCCTCAGCCTCCCAAGTGCAGGGATTACACCACGCCCTGCTAGGGCTGCCTCCTAACTCATCTTGGGAAACAGAGATCCTGTCCCGTTAAACAATAACTCCCAGTCACCCTTCCTCCCAGTTCCTGGTGACCACTGTCGTCACTTCCGAGGGCCCAGGGTGCGCCTGGGCAAGCTGGGGATGGGGAGGGTGCCATCTGAGTCGCTCTCAGCAGAAGTCAGATCCTTACCCTGCAGCATACACAAAATGAACTCAAAATGGCTCAGATGTCTGAATGTAAGGGCTGAGCAAGAGTGTTAGAATGAGATACCGAAGAAGAGCCCCGGGACTTCGCACTTGGCAGCGATTTCTCGGATATAAGATCAAAACCACAGACAACAAGAGCAAAAGCCAGCAAATCCAATTCCTTGAAAAGTAAAGATGTGAGAGAGTGCCTGGGAGGTGGGAGGGCCAGGGGCCAAGTGTGCAGAAGAGAGGTTCTGGGGAGGGGCGGGAGTGGGCAAGGCTGTGATTGGTTGGAACAGAAAGAGGGGGGCTGGGGGTGGGGGCCCAGATAGTGAGGACACTGCAGGGCTGCACTGTGTTTGATCTTCACTTTGAGGCCAGCGGGGCAGCGGAGAAGGTCGATGAGACCGTCCGCCCAGGGGCTCTGGCGGCAGTCTTGCGGAGTAGAGGCGCTGGGAAGGAGGGGCAGTGGCGTGGAGAGTCACGGGGGCCACTGGACATGGGACAAGGTCCACTCAGGAGGACCCCAGGTCTCTGGCTCAGCGGTGGTCAAAGGCACAAAGATGCAGAATAGGGGGAGGAGCAGCCTTATACCCGAGGTTAGGAGTTGGCTTTCGGGAGTTCACAGGCTCCCTCCTGGGTACCTGCACAGAGCCCAGGCCTGGGCTCCCACGCCCACGCCCCAAGCTGGATCAGCCGCCAGTGCCCTCCAGGCTGCTGAGTTCTTGCTTCCCACCTGGCTGCCACCCTGTGCCTGCTGGCCTTTAGAGAAGGCAGGGTGGGGACAGACCTCCCTGGGGCAGGGCTGGGCACGCATGCGCAGGGAGCGGTCATTCAGGGGTCTGCCCCTTCCCACCCTGGCGGATGATGGGTATCCGGCAGGGGCCAGAGACAGCCTTTGCCCAGTGGGTACAGACTTGAAGGCCAGGTCAGGATGAGAAGGTGCCTGCAGGCTGTGGGCCATGGGAAGGAGAGCGTGTGTGTGTGGGGGTGTGGGAGAGTGCAGGGGTGGGGCCATAAGGGGGTCTCTAGACCCAGGGAAGGTTTGGATTTTACACCAGAGACACATGCCCAGGAAGGACACAGAAGTGCTATGCTCAGGTTTATACTTTCCTGAGGTCTCTCTGACCCCAGGGATGGGGTGGGGCACTCATCTGGGCTGCGGAGATTGCAGGGCAGGCAGGTTCAGAGGGGCACGGTGGGAGGGTTGGGGAAGAGCCCTGCCCTGGTAGCCGCACAGACCTTTGTCTTCCCAGGGGGCTTTATCAGATGGTGGTGCCCATGTTGGGTTGCCTGGAGCCGGGGGTCCCCACAGTGTCTGGGGTGGGAGGAGGGCTGGGAGGGGCTAGCATGGCCTTGTCACACATCTCACCTCCCCAGCCGCGGCATGTGGCAGCCACTCCTTGTACAGAGCTTGGGTGAGGGTTCATCTGAAGTCCGCCTTCTACTGAAGAAAGAAGCGCCTCACAGGCCGTTGGTTCCTGGGGTAGTTCTCACGTCCCACAACACACAGCATAGGGGGTTGCAATTGGAATGCTGCATGTGTAGTAGAAGTGCTTGCACTCCTTGCACCTGGGTCCCCAAGCAGGACTGTGTACCCTCTGCTGCCTTGGGTCACGGGTCCCTGTTTTCCTGGTAATTTTGGTAGTGCTGTGAAGGACCGGAAACACAAGTGTGTAGCATATGTGATAATAGATTATGACATGAACAGCACTTAGGCCAGGGCTTATCCACCCTGGGCAGTATTAGCCCTTGACAGCCTTTTTGGGAAGATTTCCCTCCAGATTTGAGACTTGAAAGCCCCTGGAATAACTGAAAAAAAAATTGCAGTGTGTAGTTGTTAAGAGTTTTGTACATTAAAATTGTGTGCAGCCAGGCGTGGTGGCGCATGCCTGTAGTCCCAGTACTCATAAGGCTGAGGCAGGAGGATCATTGCAATTGTGAGACCAGCCTGGGCTATGAAGTGAGCTCAAGGTCAGCCTGAATTGCATAGGGAGACCCTGTCTTGAAAAGACCAAAAAAAAAAAAAAAAAAAAAAATTGTGTGCAACTGGAAATGCCAGTGCGTCGCCAGTGCAATCTCAGGGGTGAAAGAAGCAAAAAGCACTTGGGGATCCCAGCCTGAGAGACGCCCAGGAACTGCCGCTTCCCTTGCTGCCCCCCAGGGGCTTCCTGGCCACTTATGCTCCTCTGGCTCTAGGTGGTGATGAAGGTTGTGCAACTGCTGCCCGATGGGCACCGCATGAAGAAGGAGGTGGACGCAGCGCTGGACACAGTCAGTGAGACCATGACGCCCATGCACTATCACCTGCGGGAGATTATCATCTGCACCTACCGCCAGGTGAGCCCCACTCTATCCAGATGCATTCCAGGTGTGCACTGCCCAGCTGTGGTTGGCCCTCTCTGTTGCTGTTGGTCACTTGCCACCTCCGGGAAGTAGAGGTGATCCCGGAAGTGGAAATACACCCAGCCCAAGCCTCTCCTGCCTGATTCTGTACGGGATGTGTGCAAGTGTGATGTAGAATTGCTTCACACCTGCTGCGACCTTGGGATCAAGCAAGGAAGTGGCCAGTCTCAGGTATGAACACCTCAGAGCCCTATGGTGCCAGGTGGTATCCTGTAGTTGGTGAATCGTGGGAACCCAGGGTCCTGGGCAGGAGTCCATCGGGTTGCTGGGGCCTCAGGCTCCGACCAGCTGATTGACAGCAGCAGGTGTGCAGTTCTGTATGGAACAGATGATGCTGCCATGTCTGCAGGATCAGAAGGCCGGTGCTGCTCTGGACTGGCCTGGCTCCCTCTGCACTTTTTGGGTTTGCTCAGTTAAAAATTATTTTTTTAATAACTCCCTCAGCTGTAAAAATACGATTTTCATGACAGTCCAGATTTCGTGTCAGAATCTGGGTTTGAGCCTAGCCGGAAAGAGCGTGCTTTACTGTCTGGCCTGGCCCCCAGCGCGCCCTGCGCTGCCACCCTTGTCCCCTCCCCTGCCGCATCACAAGTTAGCGTGGCCCTTGGAGTTTGCGTCTCAGGTCTGCGGGTGGAGCAGCTGGGCTGCCTGCTTCTCTTCTCTGGCCCTGTGGATTCCGTGGGCCAGCGTCACAGGGCGGGGAGGGACACACACCATGGGAGTGGGTGGGTCGGGGGTGCCGAGAGAGGGCAGTGTGTGCCCACCTGTGCTCTCTGCTGCTGGCCAGTGACTCGGGACAGCTTTGCCTGTGGCCTTGCAGGAAGGCAGCCTGCCCCCAGCCAGCCCGTGCTCAGCGAGCGCCCCAGCACACATCCCAGGCGCATCGCAACAGCCTTTGCTCAGGGCCAGGTTGTGGCAAAAGGCTGGAGGCGGGCAAGGCATGTGGTTCAGACTGTGGCCACGATCAGAGGTCAGCTGGGAGAGGAGTCTGTCTACTAAAAGGTGGCAATAAATGGGGAGGGGAAGGTGACTAAGAGCTTTGTGCATTTGGAAAGATGGTTTCGTTTCTCCAGAGCCTGTAGTGGACCGTGGGTCCCACTCACAGTGGTCTTGTATGCTGCCACCAGGTGGCAGCACAGAGCCAAGAGCGTAGAGACCCGAGGCTTCCTGTTGTCTGTAGCGCCAGGCCCAGGAAGTGGAAAAGGTGCTTTCGAAGCACCTTAGCCCCTGCCAGCTGGCCAGGCCTTAGCAGAAGCCCCTTCTCTGCATCCCACAGCTGACAGGCCCTCCCTCCCTCTGGGCTCTGCAGCCCTGGATGTCCAGTGTGTGGTGCGTGGTGTGGAGCAGGGAGCGCTGCAGACCTGAGCTGGTGAGTGTGTGCTTGTGTGTGTGTGTGTGTGTGTGTATGTGTGTGTGTGTGTCTCCCCGTCCCCTGCAGCTGGCCTGGAACAGGCCTGATAGGGTAAGAGCAGGGAGGCTATCCAGGCAGGAGGGGCCACAGGAGCAAAGGTCAGGAGGCCAAAGGTACTGAGTGAGTTTGGAGGGAATGAAGTCGGCTTGGTACCTGCAGTTTTGTCAGAGGGCATCAGGCGTGAGGTCGGAGGGTCAGCCAGCCCCACTCCGTGAGCAGAGGGAGGGAGGTGGTGTGGCTGTGGCTGTGGCTGTGTCTGCTCTTTCGAGTATAGAGTGTTTTACTGAGAAAGGGGAAGGCTGAACCAGTTGAGAACTCCTGATTTGCCACCAGGCCACCCACTCTATTTTCCAGGCCAGTGTGGTTCAGACTTGCTCCTCATGGGTTGAGGCCAAATTTGAGTCAGTACCTATTACGGCCACCAGGTGGCCCCAGAAGCTGAGTTTGGGTCAAACAAGTGCAGAGGGCCTGAGGTAGCTTGTACTGCTGTGTTTTCACCCTGCCTGCCCATGAGGTTAATGTGGGAACTTCAGTGCATCCATCCCCTGCCAAGCTCCACTCTCACAGTCGGATCTGGTGGGTCTGCTGTGGGGCCAGTGCATAGGTCTTGGTTTTAAAACTGCCTTAGCAGGGGCTGGGGATTTAGCTCAGTGGCACAGCGCCTGCCTGGCAAGTGGAAGGTCGTGAGTTCGATTTCTGGTACTGGAAAAAAACCAAAACCAAAACCAAAAAAAAACAAAACAAAAACAACTGCCTTGGCTGGGTGTGGTGGTGCATGCCTGGAATCCCAGCACTTGGGAGGCTGAGGCAGGAGGATCACTATGAGTTTGAGGTCAGCCTGGGCTCCATAGTGAGTTCAAGAGCAGCCTGGATTACCCAGTGAGACCCTGTCT